TGCTATCTGGGCAGTAGCATCAATGCGCGAGATGTAGATAATTATGCTATACTATCTCAGGAGGAAGATGAAGATAATGAGGAAGATGACGGCTGCGAAGGCGAGTACGCTATTGGTTGATATTTCCCAATTATGGCGTCGTTTTGGAAGTGGTTGTGATTGGTCGTGCGCGGTAGCACACCTTTCTTCTTACATCATGGTTATACGAACGAACGAGACAGTAATAGGAGTGAGTGAGATGAGTGAGAATAACAGCAAGTGAAGAAGGTTCGAGGAGGATCGGGATCGAGTCCTTTCATCTATGGTAAAGCCCGTATCAGACTACGGATTGGGATTGGGATTAGATTGAAATTTAACCAATCACAGTAAAGTTTACTAATCTCAAGTTCAGTAACTTTTACTCTGATTGGTCAAATTTCAATCTAATCCCAATCCCAATTCATAGTCTGATACGGGCTTTACTCTGATTGGTCAAATTTCAACCTAATGGGTGCGTTCTTTTAGGCATCGGATTTGGCAACCGCTGCGCATCGGATTTGCCGGCTGATGGAAATCTGCGGTGCAGTCGACTGCGCAGTCGGGCTAAAAGAATGAATTACTGCAAAAACTGCTGTATCCGATGCCTAAAAGAACGCACGGAATCCCAATCTCAATCCGTAGTCTGATACGGGCTTTACAATTCTGACGCCTGCTTCTGCTGCCAGTGCTGGCACCACTGCCCAGAGGGCACACCGCACAGTTGACCACACTGCTGCATGTCAGTGCACTCGGTGTACATGTGTGCGTGTTGTTTGGCATCGGCATCGCGAGGTCTCGACAGATTTTGAAGGATCATAAAAAAAATGGATTTAATAAAGAAATCACATAAAATCCACGATGGACAGAGTGCGCCAAACGATTGGGCACATATGACGAAATACGAGGCTGTAGCAGAGCAGCATCGTATCGTCAATAACTGGAAACCACGGAGCGACGTGTACATAACCCCCATTCAGCTGGGTATACATCTACGAACGAACAACGAACGTGAACATTCGAAGATTCGCGTTTGTTCCCTTTATCTTTAGCTGTGTATACACTTGGCGAACGTAATAGCGAACGGGAGTGTTCGTTTTTCTCATTCGGAAGATGTATACTTCAAAGCAAATGCGAATGGAACGTTCGATCCGCGTTTGGCTCCATTCACTGCTGTTCGCTCCTCTTCGCAATATCCATATGTGTAATACTTGAAGTATCATATACATGGCAATACCATAACTTATCGTAACCGTGGGAGCTTTCCAGCAAGCGACACAAATGTTGTTCTGTCTTTATTATTCATTGAATGCGAAGAAAGACAGAACGACGTTTGTGTCGCTTGCTAGAAAGCTCCCCGTGTTGTTCGTGTCGTAGATGTATACCCAGCTTTTACGTTACTGTCTGCTTAAAGGCCGTGCTTACACGACGCACCGGCGAACGCCTCGAATGATTCCGTCTCGTTAGACTCGTCGCGCCAAGAGCTGCGCATAATACAATGCGTGTAACAAATGCCCGCCGCAATGACACTCGATAAAACCGGTAAATTTCATCTAGATGGCCGTTGGCATTCACACGCGGTATCCTGGTCGGCGCGTCGACGATCACTGCTATGTACATTAATCACCGGTTCAGGGCGAGACTGAAGCTCCGGGATTACGGGCTGTTACCCACGATGATGGGTGTCTCACTGGTGTCGGCCACAGCGACGGGTATTTCCCACACAGAGGTACTGGCGGCCGATCGAGGGTCAGTTTCACGAACGCCGGTTAACTGCCAAGGCCCGGGTTCAAACACCGCTTAACTTTAATCTTGGTTTAATTCATGTTTGTCTCTTTCTAAAGTAACCGTTGAGAAGAGATACCTAAGACCCGGTTTCACCAACGTCGCTTAACTTTGTCTCTTTTCGACTGTTACTTTAGAAAGAGACAAACGCGAATTAAACCAAGATCAAAGTTAAGCGACGTTTGGCGAAATCGGACCCAACTGAAGATCAATTGATTCTCTGTCTTTTCTTAGGCCCGGTTTCGCCAAACGTCACTTCAATCTTAATTTAATTCGTGTCTTTTTCTAAACAATTGGAAAGAGACAACAAATTAAACTAAGCTTAAAGTTAAGCGACGTTGATGAAACCAGGCCTTGGATGACAAGATAGAAGAACATAGAGGGCCGACTGGACTCTGGTTAACCGACGTTTGTGAAACTAGCCCTGAATTGGATCTCCTGAACGAGAAAACGAGTACCGTGCGTATTTTTCAGGTCATCCTGAACAAACTGATGTCCCTGGACATACCTTGTGCCATGTGCATGGAATCTACATCCGCCCTTATGCAGACGTGCAGCGGGCTGCTTGTGCCACTAATACTGACACCGCTCGCAAACTTCTCAGTAAGCGGCAGAACTTTACCTTCTCTCTTCTCTCAATCTGTTCGTTACGCCATTCGTTATATTCGTAGATCACTAGTGGCAGTTCGGTATACAATACGCCCTACATAAAGGACGTGAGAAAAATATTCAGCACCATCCTGTCAGTCTATCGGCCAATGTTCCCCAAACTTGCATTGATCTTCACCTTTCACTCGCTACTGGCTGGTTCCCTGACGTATTTAGAAATCAGATCTTACCTTCGTGTGATAGACCTACAATATCTGATGCAAGAAGAACAAATGGAAAGGTTGAAACAAAGCAATATTTAAATTTTATGCATACTATTGTTGTACATAATTATAGTAAAATATACGAGATAGAAAAGAGAAATATTCACTGTTGGTGTGGATCTTACCTCGTTCTTTGTATCGGGTCGACATTTAATATTATTGCAAGGACAACGAAAGGATCGTAATATTTCGTAGAATATAAAATGTATTTTTATTTCATCATTGACATAATGTTATAAGATGTCTATAATCGTTCACTGATATTCTTGTGTTTTCTTTTTTTTTATTAAGACAACTATGCGTCTCGTACATATCTACGTCCTTTTCTCAAAATTAATCCAATATCTAGGCACCATATGATTTGTTATAGTAATAAACGCTTTCCAACTGTTTAAAAAGATCGCTGCTTCGAATATTTGATAATACATATTTTTCTGATTCAAGAGAATTTTTCCATATATATATATAATGCGTTGACTCTCTCGCTTATTTAATACAAAGTTTAACTTACAATATCGAGTCAAACGTACGTATTGTTTCATATTGTTAAATGTAATATGAATTTACTTATAGGCTCGAGTAAAATAGCAAATTCGATATTTCAATTATCTCGATTAGATACAATGCTTCATCATGAAAATCTGAAAGAATTTCACGCAGACTTCCAATATTTAATAGACGAGAACTACGATCAAAGTCAAATTACGCTTATTTCTCTATTATGTTAAAACGAACTACTTGAACATCGTATTATTAAATTTGGGAACTTCTTGAATTTCTACCCCAGCTTGTATTCACAAAACGAAAATGTAGCATCCTCATGTCGCATGCCTATGTTACATTTTCTTAAGATACTTTACTCAGAAAAGAAAGAAAAAAAAGAGGGAATCTTTTCGCATGGTTTGGTTTCCAAAGTCAAATTGGGCACAGGTGACCGTAGTTTTGATTTGCCAACTATTCTAGAGTTAAGTATATTACTGGCAGTTTACTGGACGTTATACATAGGGGCCCGAGTAGCAAGGAGATCCCAGGAACTATGTGTATGCGATAAGAATATATAAAAGATAACATCAGAGATGCGGACGCATCAATTCAACCAAAGTACAACAACGATGATCTGTTTATTCTTTCGGTAGGACTTTTATAATACCTACAACAATGATTATGTTGGCAGTGAATGAACTCTCAGCTATCATATAGCTGTGGAATCTAAGAAGCGAGACAGTTTAATATAAAATATGCCTGAACTTCTATTACATGTGACAATGTTGTTAAACATACCGCGCATTCAAGGTACACCGACAGAGATTTTCCCGGTACACCATTTCCTGTTCCACTTCACCAAATGCACGTAATCCACAACTCAGTTGCGTACACGTACGGTACACGCAACTGCACTTTCGCTCTTTTCCCCCCCGTATTATCTTTATCTATTTTTAAGCGGGAAAAGAGATTTTATCTGATGTCATTATAATGAATGAGTTATTACCATGATTCGCACAGCAATCAACATCACAATGAGATCGTCATTTTTGTTTAATATCTTAAAACCTATATATATTTCTATATCTATAATATTCCTTTGTTAGTTGTGGTGTAGTCCATTGCTTATTTACAGTAGAGGTCCCATTCTATAGTTCATCTACCGATATAGAGTAAAGCAAGTCGTAAGTTTTCGAAATTGGATATTGCGACAAATTGACGCCGAGACATTAGAAGTTTAATAACAGTTAAACGTAACCATGTTATTAAGTAAAATTATTATTGTTAGTAGAAAGAAGTCCTATGCTGTAATAAAACTTTGGACTATAATCTAAACGTCTTAAATTTCATTGTAGGAATGGTATAAATATGCAACATAAAAAACAATTTACACCGCATCTACGTATCATTTTTGTGTTTCATTGTAGAACAGTCTGCGTATGAACAAAAACACGTGAAAAGAGAAATTAATGTTCATAAGCTCAATACAAGACCATGTGTAATAATAATTTAATGTTAAAAAAAGTTTTCTATTTATACCATCGATGCAAAGAAATTCTGTTCAGATGTTATAGTGTTATTGTGTCAGATATTACGCAAATATGAATAATTAACGATTATATTAGATCTTAGAAAGAAAATAATAATAATTTTATCGTTCTACAGCGCATTCGTACTATTTTATAGAATGCTCCAATAAAATTTTTTTCCCTTGAACATTATTAAGAAAATCAAAATAATCTCGTTGCTCGCCGATAGTTTAAATCTGCTTTCACGAGCAATGTAAACAGGCGACCATAATGCATTTGTGCACTATCGAATGACTGGACTAATAGCCACAATTAATTATACAGACAATGTTATGCATTCGGAAATTCGTCGCGTCACGCTCTCCACAAATACTAATACGAGTGTCTAACGTTCTAGCATGATGGCATTAATGGTAAAAGCTATGATCGTACAGTATTTACATCTTATTACAACGATCAATGGCTAGTCAAATGTTCGACAGCAAACTGAACTTGCATTGTTGCTCGCAAATAGATTATTTTTGTTTTTTTTTCGTTCAAATTTAACAATCATAAAATTGTACAATACGAGAACAAGAGTCTACCATATACAAATGTCCCTATGCCGATAATATTATTTATATTACAACAAATAGCTTGGAAGAACATTGCCACCATACTCAAGACTGTATATTTTTTTTCGCATTTCTTTTCACGACACGAATAAATCGCGCAAGAGTTGATAATAAAAGAGAAAGAAAGAAAGAAAGAAAAATGGAGACGGTAAATTTCTGCTGAATCAAAATATATAATGAGCACCACAATTGAAGCAATAGATGATAGTACATAACAGCCGCCTTTAATAGTATATTCTTTCATGCGTTTAATTCATTTCTCTGCATTACAAAAGTTCGTAAAGAATAACGATACAGCGTACTGGAGGATGCGGTACGCGTAATTCCATTAGAACGGTGGATAGTTTTGCATGGGTACCACAACCGGAGGAATTGGCGGTAGCGGAAGTGCGTGTATGAATGTGGGGTGATTCGGCTGAACCATAACTAAGGTATGCTGTTGATTGGCCATGAAAGAGTTGTATTGTGTGGTACTATATTGTGGATACGACGCGTTAACTGTATCTGAAATATTTTTGTAACAAAACGTGCCGGGCGTTTGGCAAGGTAGGGGCCCCTGGATAGGACCCCAAGCCAGCTGCTAGCATCGCCGGTTATGCCAATGTGTCATGTAGTCTTGATAGCTTACGGTAATCTTCTCGCTCTGGTATCGCGTCAGCTTAACACTGCGTCTAATATCCGGCGTAACTATGCCCTTGTAGCCACCCTTATGTAATAGCGAGTCTATGGTTTGTATCTGGTCCCAACCTGCGTTACAAAAGAAATGTTGATTTAATGGAAAGCACAGTTGAAGCTAGCGCGACACTATGCGCGATTCGCGATTCGTATATTCGTGAATAGTGTGGAGGAAAAATTCGTCGATTCGCCATTCGCAGTGATTCGCTAGCCAGTTTTTTCTTTTTAATGAAAACAGTGGGTTTTCTTGACTAATATTGAAACTTGACTAATTGCAGACTTATGATACAAGTCCTATAATAACAGGTAAAGTTCTATCCAAACTTGCATAGCGCATAAACATAAGCATAAGGAATCTGACTGAGTCATAAGTGCATGCATGAAGAAATAAACCAATCAATTTCTTTATGCATACGCTTATGCACTTATGCAAGTTTGTCTGGATAGAGGCTCAAAGTTATTCACGACAAAGTTGAATCACGAATCGCGCGTAGTGTGGCGCTAGCTTAAGAAACGTGAGATCTATTCTTTATAGCTGAGAGTTTATCTCTTTCTCTCTGAATTAGAAGGAGAAAGACAAACTCCGAACTGGTGCAGCGAGTTTAGCTACAAAGAACGGATGAACGATGATCAATGAACGGCTTCCCAATGGTCCACAGCGAGCGTGCATATTTACCTTGTTCAGTCGCAACATCAGGTAAGTAAGTAGCAGTTCTCTTGTTGCCCTTTTCATTATGGAACTCTATGCGAATCCCATGGACTCCTATTTCCCAATCTAAGTAGTCCACGCCGTCTTCAAAATGCCGCAATATAGAAACGCTCACGTGTAAGCGTGGAAGTTCGTCGCGCGTTATGGGATTGAACCGCGAATCCTTGAAAGCACTGCGAGACACAATCGAGCGCTTAAAAGCGCGATCCAATATCTGAGCCAGGTCGCTTTAAAGGGCGTACGTTACCTGGTAGTAGCATATTCCCTAAGTCCTGCGTGCAAGTGCATGGCGTTGAACGTACCAATACAACCACGTAGACGCATGTCCTTTCCTGTAGTCCAAGTTACGAACAAGGGACTGGAAAGACACGAGAAAGAGACGCGTTATCGATATTAGCGGGTCTCAAACTGGGCGTCAGTTTCGCTTTCAAAGCCTGATTTTACCAAACTCGCTTAACTTTAATCTTAGTTTAATTCAGGTTTGTTTCTTTCTGGAGTAACAGTTGGAAAGGGACAAAGAACGAATTGAACTAAGCTCAAAGTTAAGCAACGTTGGTGAAACTAGGTCTAAGGCCTGATTTTACCAAACTCGCTTAACTTTATTAGCTTAATTCAGGTTCGTTTCTTTCTGGAGTAACAGTTGAAAAGGGACAAAGAACGAATTGAACTAAGCTCAAAGTTAAGCAATGTCTAAGGCCTGATTTTACCAAACTCGCTTAACTTTAATCTTAGCTTAATTTAGGTTTGTTTCTTTCTGGAGTAACAGATTGAACAAATTAAACTAAGCTCAAAGTTAAGCGACGGTGGTGAAACCGGACCTAAGAGCCTGTGCTACTGAATCGAGCTCTCGACAACTTTAGTTACGCAGACAAGGGGGTGTTAAATAACCAGGCTCTTCTGAAATCAATAGTTAAACGGCATTTATGATATGTATCTGTGCGTAAACAGTTTGTGCAGAGATTGAAATGAATTAGTGATCATCTAAATACAATTAAAAAAGTAAGAAACAAAGGAATTACATCCATCTCTACTGAGGATCCAGGGCGGCTATGGAGGGCGGGGATAAAACGGGGATAAGTTCCGAAAATATTTCCAACTCAATAAATTATCCAGGAGCAAAACAACGCTGGAATCTCGCATAACCTCGGCAGAAGGTCAGCGACACGAGACGGAGGAGATTCAGAAAATACCCAGACGCGTCCTTCGGGAGACGCGTCCTCGTATCGCTTTTCCTCCCTGCCCCCTGATCCGCGAGAACGACGGTCGGAGGCACAAAAGCGGCGGTGGTTCCAACAAAGAGACGCACTGGCGTGGGTGGCGGGAGAAAAAGGACAACGATGGAGAGAGAGAGAGAAAGAAAAAAAGGTGTCGCGCTGCAGGAGGGCGAGAAGGAGAGAGCGAGAGAGAGAGGGGGGAGACGGAGAGGGAGGGGGGCGAAGGCGCGCACGGGAGTCGCGAGCGCGCGAGAGAGAGAGAGAGACGCGACGCACAGTCGCGGGGACAGGGAGGAAGGGATACGGTCGGGACGCCGAAGGCTCGCTCCGCTCGCTAGCGCGCGATCAGTGCGACGGGCTCGGAAACTCACAATGCTTCGTTGCTGAAGTTGGGCGGCTTTGGTGGGTCGAGTTGGTGCAGTTGGCAGTAGAGGACGTCGAAGCAGTAGAAGCCCATCTCGGGCTGCACGATCGGCGCGTTACGTATACGCGTGCCGTTCGTCAGCACCGACGTGCCGTTGCACGGTACGCCCGCGGAGTTGTTGAGCTTCTGCTTCTTCGTACCGCAACAGCCGGCAGCCATGTTACCGTCTCAGCCGTCGCCGTCGACCACTGCGACCCGTACCGCGGACACGAAACGGTGAACGACCCGTATGCGCCTCTCGTGCACTCGTCCGCCCGTCGCGGCCGCCGCCGTCTTCGTCCTCGGGCCTCGTTGCTGCCGCCGTTGTCCTCCTCGTTGCCGTAGCGTGCCGTGTCGCGCGCGCGCCCCGCCAGGTGGCGCGGCGCACGCTAAAACAGCTGTTTCATCACCCGCCATTTTCGCCGTCCCGCCGCGCCGTTCGCGCCCGCGCCCTCGCCCGTGCGCGCCAAACGCGCCAATACGATTCCGCTTGATAACGTGACCGACGCGTTTTCGTTCGTTCGTTCGTTCGTTCGTTCGCGCGCGTGGGGCGCCCTTGCGTCAAAATTCTCGTCCGCAGCCCCCTGAAGATGTCGATATCGAGAAAAACTATCGATACATTCGTCGAATAACCGGCAATATCGAATGTCCTACAAACCTCTCTAGCGTGCTCTTCTTCTCCGGAAAAGAAAGCTTTCAAGGTCCGCGAATCCGACGCGTTTGGAAATGGAAAAATGTAGAAATATGAGAAAACGGAATAACGAGTAAGTAACAAACGAGCTAGAAATAATAATTGGCGACAGAAGCCCGATCTTATTCCACATAGATGAGTGAAAACGCTTAAAAATTTTCTCGGCAACGTGTACCAGGTAGCACAGTGCATTGGCTAAACATTCGCCCAATGTCAAGGCAGCTCAGTATCAGAGTCACCCGGCCACGATGATGCAAACTGCAATGCTTGCGAAACGTCGGCGCCGCACTGCAAACGGACGCGCGGCAACCATCCGGAAGCCATTACGACTGAAGAAGGCAGCAGCCGCGAAAGCTTGAAAGCCAAGATTCGCCCAATGTCTGTTACATTAGACATGCATGGAACGAATGCGAATATCGCGCGACAATTATTACGTAATCTTTTCCCGCGTGCTCGCAACTCGATTAATAATTGTATCTCGCGACGGAGCTCGGTTTTCAAACTTCTGTCCGTTCTCCGAGATACGCGCTGAGCCGAGCGGTGTCCTCCGGGGGCGGCTCGATCCAGCGCCAACGCGCGTTCACGCAAGCACCAGCGTCCTCGGCGCGAGTGAAAGCGAACATGGTCGCGCGCGCGAACGAACGAACGCCGCGATTCGTAAATATTTCCCCAACTCCCCCTCCCGCTCCCGTACGCCGCGCGACTACTTACCGCGACAGCTGCGAGCAGACGTGCCGGTCTCGAGCGTGGATGCCATTCGCGCATCCCCGGTCGCGTCTACGGGGGTGGAAGCGACCCGGTACCACGCAACTACGCCGCACATGGAGCGCGGCCGGCGTCGACGAACGAGCGCAAACGAGCGCTACGTCGCCGTCGGCGCGTGACGCGCGATCCGCGGCTTCGGGATTTCCCGGCACCCGGGGGCGACCGCGGGGTCAACCGGGAGGGGAAAAAAACGTGCTCGAGGGGAAGAGACTCCGTCGCCCGGAGCCGCGGCACGCGCAATATGTCGACGCCCGTCGCGCGACCGCGGGCGACCGACGCGCGGATTCACCGTCGGTTTCCCCCGCGCGGGGAAATTGTCACGGCACGTAACTGCGTAGATAACGCGGCCGCCGTTTGCGCGCGCCCCGTCTACACGCGAGCGACGCGCCGAGACGCTCCGCGCGCGGCACTCGACGCCGCGCGTCCACGACGCCGCGCGGTTACGATCGGTCTGAAGTGGGTCCGGCTGTGCGTCGCGACGCCGGCCGCGTCGCACTCGCGCGCGCGAGAGCGCGGCGCCATCTCGCAGGCGTTCCGTTGCGCGATAAAAAAAAATTACATGTATATGCATAAGCGTATGTATATATTGCCGGCGGGAACGCCAACGTCGAATCGACGTCGACGGGGTCGAAGCCGCGTCCCAACCGTCAGTTTTTGAAAATAACTGAGCCCTCGAACTTAACTTTCCCGCGGAGAAATGTCTCATTATACGTGTCTCAATCATGTAATATTTAATTATATTCAATTCCGAAATCGCCAGGATCTTCGGAGATCTGACACTTTTATCGAATACTCAATGTTGTTATCTGTCGGGATCTAATTATATTCTCTTACATTTAATTATAGATTTTGTTAGATCTCAATAGATAACGTTGAAGATTCGAGGAAACTGTCAAATCTCTGAGGACCTGAAAAATCATCAGATTTTTAGAATCGGATCTCGTAAGATATAATTAGATAGTACATGATTGAGATATACGTATGTACAGGGTGTTCCAGGATGAAAAGTCAATATTCCGGGAGGTGATAGTATCGGTCATTTTAAGTAAACATGTTCATACGAAAATTTATCCCATTCCCCATTGTTTCCGAGATAGAGCTCCCTTACGGAAAAAAGAACACTCAAGTTGTGAGTGTTAACACTCGATTGTCCGAATTTACTCTCAAATTTGAGTGTATCGTTGCGAAACAAGGTTTGTGATTGAAATTGGACGTTGAAAATCTGCTATCTCATAATAGAGGACTTCCCTCTATATAACGAACGCGAAATAGTTTACATTATAAGTCTGTATTTTTTTTAACCATGCGGTTCTACGTATATCGCGCGTTCGCTTCTTTTACATTTCCCACGTGCGATGTGAAAACTGTTATATATACGTTGAAAAAAGAATTTTTGGACGCGGAAAGGAATAATGCGAGAAGAATTGATTACAATAATCCTTATGACAATATAAAAGTTTATTTTATCTTTTCATTGCAATAAGAATTGCCTGTAGTACCTTGATGTAATTTTTGCATGATTCTATTGGTTTCTTAATGTGAGAAGTAGGCGAAATGAAGAAGAGAGGGGGAAGGGAGAGACGGAGAGAGAGAGAGAGAGAGTTATGTTCGCTGTATTCGACTTACGAATAAGTAAAGAATAACCTGTGGGTCCGCTGCATTATTAATTTACAAATGCAATCAATGTGAGCATACACTCGCTTGATACCGCATTAATATTACACTAATATCAGATGATATCAAGTACGATAATAAATATTAACCTGACAAGTACGCCTCGCTTTAGAAATTGTTAATATTTTTCGTCGTGCAATCTCGCGTTACAACGTATTAATCATCGGGAGAGAAAGAGCAAAAGAGCACAGTACTAAACGTCTACGTGTGTACAAAGTGCTTACTCTACGCAATTACAAAATGCGCGCACACCGAGTGGACTTTTGTGGCAGTTTCACAAAATACAGAACGATTTTATTCAGTAGATTCGTATGACGATTATCGATCTTAAAATACGTTCAATACGGCTAGATGTGTGTATATTTAATTTGCATTGCGTTAACATCGACGACTCACTTTTAAGTGAGCACGTTTTCATTGTATTGCCGTCAAACTCCCTTCGGCAAACACGAATACAATTCACTTGTATACCGCGAGAGCGTAATTGCACAACGCTAGACAGAATTATTTTCATTCTCACCGGTGACAATGCATTATTCGTACGTGTAAACCGTAAAGCTAGCGCAACACTATGCACTATTCGTGATTCGCAGAAATGGATATTCGTTATTATTTACCGCACTATCCGTGACTCGCGGTTTATCATTCGTAATTTAATTGTCGTTTTGTTCGTGTTAACTTCGACAACTTTTAACTTTTATTCGTCATTACAGGACTTGGATCATATGTCTACAATTAGTCGAGTTTCAATATCAGTCAAAAACTACTATCTTAGTCAAAATGGCGAATCGACGAATTTTTTCCCCCCACACTATTCACGAATTTACGAATCACGAATCGCATAGCGTGGCGCTAGCTTTACCACAGTATTCGTAATTCGCAGTTTATCGTAATTTGTTATTTGTCGTTTCGTTTGTGCTAACGTCGACAACGTCTAACTTTTACCTGTCGTGACAGGAGTCATATCATAAGTCTACAATTAGTCAAGTTTCAATATCAGTCAAAAACCACTATCTTCGTCAAAAATCGCTCGACTAGCGAATCACTGCGAATGGCGAATCGACGGACTTCTCCTCCACACTATTCACGAATAAACGAATCGCGAATCGCGCATAGCGTGGCGCTAGCTTAATAATGTCTAATTATTACGCAAACGAAGTACCGTCGACCAAACGAGTGCATATGTGAATCGACAAGTATGTGGCAGTTCGTTGGACGTTTATATTATGCCGAGATTCACAGAAGGCAAGATTTTATCAACTCGCTAATTATAATTATCGATGCAAACAATATGTTTCACGTAAATATATAATAACGCGCACTAACACGGATAACACGGAGAACAACGCATGCTACAACAAAGATAAGATACGATAACAATTTTCATTTTTTATTTCTAACGAATATTTCCATTAATATAAAAAAAAAGGATATAACAGGGCGAATAAATTGGCAGTGTTTAAAGCCCGCTTCTTAAGAATAGCTGGCAATTCAAGGGAAGTAGAAGGAACGCCGGGAAATATGCCACTAATTTATATCGTAATATTAAAAGATACGATTGAAACTTGCGAAATATGCATTGATAGATGCGTGAGACACCGCAATTGGTGCAACTATCACGAAATCATGATAACTTATCAGTCGGATAATCGAAAAACAATGAGATCTTTTATACTTCTTTTTAATACTTTTACGTCTAACTTACATGTCTACTATTTATATTTGCTACTGTGTTATGAGTCAAGTTTCAATTAGTCTTTAGTTTTTATACTTTAATAACTAAATCACAATTAACCACAGATAATTTATTTGTTTCCTCGTCAAACTTGCTGTCTTTTTGATGCGACTAAATATCTTAAAGTATCTTCAAGTTCCTGGATCTTTGCCGCGGCCATATTGAAGTGCGAGAAAATTTTTGCCTGTCATTCTTAAGAAAAGATATTTGGATGGAAAAAGACTTTGGATCGCTTTGGCACATTTATAAAATTGTCGAAAACCATCATTTTCCGTAAAATGAACGTAATGCGAAGTCTAGTTAAGCCTAGCGTATACCCAGATAGCCAAAAGTCGGTCAGAACAGATGTTGAAGGCAGAAAGACTGCAGATTGCATACAGGAACTGACATATTCAACATGTTGCCAGTATGTCAGTAGAAATACAACAAAATCTGCTCACATAACTGGACTTGCTCGGTTTCCGCCGACAATTTGTTGACAGTGTATGTTTTACAGATCCTGTTGCTAAAACAAAAGCCAAGTGTGGACACAGATGGCTATTTTGGTGTCTGCTAACGTTTTGCTGACTGGATACGACAAGGCTTCGCATCACATTTCTTTTACGGCTGGTTATTAACTGTCAAAGGGGAAGGATAGTTTTCGGACAATTTTACAAGTGCGCTAAAGCGACCTGAAAAATGTTTCACCCTAAAACTTTTCGATGTAAAAGTGGCACGCAAGAATGCGCAGCATGTCATTTCTCGCCTCCATAATTTCCAACATGGCCGCGGCGAGTTCAGAAGACCTAAGGAAAGTTCCTTTCTTGTAATGCAAACTAGTACTCTATATGATGTAGCTAAAACGCGTTCTATGACCAATGAAAGACGTGAACAGAGAGAAATGTATGAAAAACATGAAGAATTGTTTCCAACTTTCACTTGATGCGTAAGAATGTTATGTATCATATACATTATGCTAAAAAAAATGGAATAATTCCGACATCGTTTTTGTACATTATATCGTGTGAAAGCAGGCAGTGAATTTTAGATGTAATCACTGTCTTATAAAAGTATTCATTGTCATTCTTATATTATCGATGCAAATACAGATTTCTTCACGAAACGATGGCAGCGTTAATTGTTATAAGCGAAAAAAGAATTCAGTGCACACACATTTGTGAGAAAAGTAGAATTAATGAATAACACAACCATCGAATAATTGAGCAATTAATATAGTTTCTATTCTTTATCAATCTTCGAAATCGAATTAAAAAATTTGGGGAAATTGTTTCAATATAATCTTAAATTATTTGGAAAATTAAACACGTGTCAATGTAGCTACAATCTCTAATCAAGTTTCGAGCCTTGTAAAAGTTACGTTATTTGTAATTAATTGCAATGCGCAACAATTAAACGATGCCATCGTATACGAAAGTTTCATTATTCTCAAGACGGAGCATGCGGTAGCATAAACGGGAGACTGTGTACGCTGAGACACAGAAACACGCACCACTTTAAACAGTGGAAGATTGCGAGAAACAACCGCCTCCAATGTCATTTCCGCTTACGTACCCCGCGCTCCGCGGTGTCCTGCGTCAGGAAGCGATGCGGCGGTCGGGGATAAAGCGGCGCGGGCGGATAGGACGGACCCGCGTTGTCCCACCAGAGGGGTGGATTGTTACGTATCGGTATCATGACCGGGGTGAGCGATGGTAAGGGTAACGGATGTATGAACGTCGAGCGACTCGGCTGCGCGACGATCTGCAAGCACTGCTGGCCGGACGCGAAGGAATTGTATCGTGCGCCATCGTTCTGCAAGTGAGACGAATTGACCGTGATATGGGCATTGTTGTAGCGAGCCTCGGCGGCGCGTTGGGCCAGGGGTCCCTGACCGGGACCCCAGGCGATCTGCTAGCATCTCCGATTGTGACAATGCGTCATGTAATCCTGATAGCTCACGGTGACCTCCTCGCTTTGATAGCGAGTCAGTTTCAGGCTACGACGGATATCGGGTGTGACTAGGCCTTTGAAGCCACCCTTATGTAGCAGAGAATCTATCGTTTGTATCTGGTCCCATCCTGAACATCAGATTACAGATTATTTCTCGTAGAGACGCCCACCAGGGGGGAACAGGGGGGGAGGGGGGAGGGAGAGAGAGAGAGAGATATTCCATCACTCTTGTCCTATTCTACGCCAACGGATACGCACCTTGCTCCATAGCTACGCTGGGCAGGTAAGTAGCCGTCCGCTTGTTACCCTTCTCATTGTGGAATTCTATGCGAATTCCGTGCACACCCACTTCCCAATCTAAGTAGTCAACTCCGTCCTCGAAGTGCCGCAAAATTGACACGCTTACGTGCAAGCGCGGCAGCTCGTCTCGAGTTATCGGATTAAACCGTGAGTCTTTGAATGCGCTTTAAAACACATAGAAAACATATATCAGGAGCGCGCGCGAGGCCATTATGCTAATTGTACGTATCACAATTATCTACGCAAGCTTTGCACTAAATCTGACATATATTATGCACTTATATACACAGGGTGTTCGAAAAGAACGGGAACTCCCCTATTATCTCCAGAAGTACACACTTTCACGGAAAATGACACGAACAAAAGTTGTGGGAGGTCATGAAATACTATCTTTTGGTGACTTTGGAATTGGCCTTGAACTTGACTTTGAGGGTCACTTGAAGGTCGACCTTGATTTTTAAATAGAAAAACCCCTTTTTTAGGAGTTACTTTAATCGCTGATATGACAACGTATCTAAACGTAAAGTTTCCCGCTCGTTTTCAATCCAGGATTAGAAAAGGGGGTTTTCATTTAAAAAAATCAAAATTGACCTTTAAATTCGATGGTCAATGATTTATCTATGACGGTCAGATCATCAATGACCTTCAAGGTCAAGTTTAAAGTCAATTTCAAGGTCACCAAAAGATGACCCCTACAACCTTTATTTGGGTCATTTTCCCTGAAAGTGTGTACTTCTGGAGATAATATTTGAATTCAGACAATTATTGAAAATTTTGGTGTATTGTAACATACACAAAAATTCGCATCAACAACGTTTATGCATCGTAGCAACAAAAAGTTGTTCACATTAATTAGTAGAATAATAAACACTAGGGGGTTCCATTCTAAAAAATTGAAGATGACCTTTGCGTGACCTTCAAGCAACTATTCAAGGTCACATAAGTGACACCATCTTATGTCCCTCTCGAAACCGTACAACTTTTGTCCCGAACATTTTTGTTTGCTGGGTTTAGTTTTTGAAATATTTTACTAAGTTAAAATGGGACACCCTGTATTTATGACTTATCTATTATTTAATTATTCTATCTCCTAATGTGAGAAACCTGGTCTCACCTAGTTGTAGCGTACTCGCGTAGCCCAGCATGTAAATGCATCGCGTTAAAAGTACCAATACAACCTCGTAATCTCATGTCTTTTCCTATTGTCCACGTCACAAATAAAGGGCTGAAAAGACGTACCTATATTAAAAAAAAACTCGCTCTCTGACATGTTTCTTTCTTATTTTCATCAGGGGTTTGATCACGAATCTTTTCCTCCAGCGTGAAAAGTGAAAAATTTCATTGACAAATTCAATATTGGTCAATAAAATTGTTCACTTTTCGGGAGTTGACGCTCGAGGAAAATATTCATGACTGAGCCGCAGGCGGCGAACCATCGGGGGAAATGGGAGAGGGAAAAGCAAAATGAGCCAGTGTTGAAATTATTTTTTTTTTATATTTAGTAAGACTTCAGTACCGTTTTGCGGCGGTATAATCAATATACAAAAGAAATAAGTGTTCATTTTTGTCATAAAATATAATAAAAATAAATATAATATAAAGACGACGACGAACGCACAATTTCCGGATTTATCATCCCCGGTTGTAAATTTTCCCCGAGCACGACGCGAGGATGCCAGCGACAAAGGCCTCGCGATTCCCATCGACAACGTTTCCGCAGATATGCATCGTAGCAACAAACGTAGCGGTCCTCTGCGGCCTACATAGTTGGCATAGCGCAATACACGACGACAGAAATCGAAGCACGCCGCGATAATGCGTGCACCGCGCGCCGACAGATAATCCGCACGCGCGCGAGGACCAAACAATGCGCCAGTAATGCGCCCCGGAACAGCATCCTGACGGGACGTCTCGCCCGGTCGAACCTCGGAGATCGGAGACGTTCGACCCCTCGGAATTCAACTGAAAGCTAAGAATCGATGGGACACAAATAACACGTTTCCGCATCGACAGATTCGATCTCCTGGTAAAAATCGGTCTCGAGCCCGACGCGGGCGCGCGACGCGGCCTGTCATCGGGGACGAGCGAAGGGACAACAGCTGACGCGACGCGCGAGCGAGACGGACGGACGGGCGGGCGGGCGAGTGCGAGGGGGGAGGACGGAGAGAGAAAAACAGAGGACACCGCGGAGGCTACTCACAACGCTTCGTTGCTGAAGTTGGGCGCCTTCGGCGGGTCCAGCTGGTGCAGCTGGCAGTAGAGCACGTCGAAGCAGAAGAAGCCCATCTCCGGCTGGGCAATCGCCGCGGGCTTCCTCAGTTGAGGAACGCCGTGCCGTATGGCGGTGCCGTCGCGGCACGGCGACAAGCTCGGCGCCGCGCCTCCACCGCCGCCGCCGCCGCCGCCACCGCCGCCCAGCCTCTGCTTCTTCGCGCCGCAGCAGCCAGCAGCCATGTTCCTCTTGGACAGGTCACCAGCGGGCACCGCCGTCCCAGCCCTTCCTCTAGCACCACGTCTACGCGCTTCCTCGCCGCGGCGTACCCAACGTCGACGTCGTCGCCGACGCGTGCCGGATCGCGCCCGCGCTCCGCTAGATGTCGAGCCGACGGTGGCGTGAACAGCTGTTTCATTACCCGCCATTTGTAGTACGCCGTCCGCGTCATCGCGCCATTGATAATTAGCGGGTTATCCCCGCCGCGCCGCCGTTGTTGCGCGCCGCCACCGCGTCAAGTCGCCCGTGGGTCATGCGCGGCCGAGACCAAGTGGGCGGTGGCGACCTCTGCGCCATTTCGAGTTTCCCATCGGACGTGTCCGTCTGCGATTTTTTTAACTTGCCATACAAAACGGCGTTGTTTCGCGCTAATGTAGCATCGTTACACGCGCGATTTCTTGTACGGAACGGAGGGAAGTTGAAACGAGGCAAATTGCAAGACGTGTGATCTGAAAGAACTCGAAGATAAGTCAGGACACTGATGTGCAGTAGCTAGCAATGCTCGACACCCGAAGGAGAAGAATAATAAATCGATATCCGATAAGACAAAGTATATTTGGATGATTGAACCATGTTCGTTGATTGATTGATAGACGTGACTGATGGGAGAAAGGAGAATATATACATACGTTATTTCTCCACCCTTCTCCCTGTTTCGCTTTTCCTTTCTCTTTTTCGGGAGTCGCCAGGACCAAGTTGCCGCCTATTGGCCGGACTCTGATTAGAAGGACTTCATTTGATATCGTGCGTTTGACTTTCGTTTCTTTTAAATTAAAATACACGAAATAAGAAAATCAAGTGCAGGGTTGGGCAAGTTACTTTATAAAAGTATCTAGTTACAGGTTTTTCGCTAAAAATGTAACTAGTTACAGTTACAAGTTACTAATTCTGAAAAGTAACGCGTTACAGTTACTCAAAAAGTAACGAGTCGTTACTTTGCAGTTACTTTCTTGCAATGCAAATAAAAATGTCGAATCTGAAGTTGAATTATAATATAAAGTGTCGATAAAGCCCGGGTAGCACAAAGTATTGCCGTAATATTGGGAAGTAACGTAAATGCAATACCGTGCAATTATTGATACGTAACATTGGCGTTACATTAGCCTTTATTCTATATTCAATATTACAATTTTATTGGGCAATCAGTACAATTTCAATATCAATCCAATATTAAAATAAATAATCATCTAGGTGCAATATCAGTAGTATATTTGCATTTATTTCACGGCCAATATTGGCGTTATATTGGGAAAATATTGGCCAATGCACTTCCAACATAACCGATGTTTAACCAATGTTAGCCAACGTATAGTCAATGAATTGTGCTACTAAGGGGCGCAAGCAAGCAATCAATCCAGTAGAAAAAATAGCACCGTCGCTGGCTTTACGCTGGCAATGACTCGGTATTCCATGTAAATTTATCCAATGATAGCACGGATAAGATTAATTGATATTTAATTCTTCAATTAAACGTATTGCAATGAAATTCGACGATCAAAGTTCTGCATTCCGACCAGCATTTGTATGATTCCGTTAATAAAAGAAAAATTTCATTGTGAATGATTATACATTATCGTCAATAAACGAAAAACTTGAAGATTATACATTTTAACGTCAACACCGTACAATAAACGTAACTGAGTTAACAGTTAAACGAGACACAATTGTCCGAAAATAATTACAAATTTAATACCGCATGTGTACTTTTATTTATAAATTCCGTAAAAAATATATAAACCAATAGTATTAATAAATCACCGATAAACGCTAGTTAAAGCACTCGAGTCAATATTTCGTGTATTATTTCTCGTTTTCAACCTAGAAACAGCCAACAAATTATACTCGAAGCGACGAGAGACTCACTGCGATAATACGAGATGTATCCGAATACAGGTATTATTTAAAGAAACAATTATCGTTCGTCATTATCGCAATGAAATAATTTCAAGTTCGCTAGCGCTTTGATTCTTGGATGTATCTCATGTGTGAATCGCGCTAGATATCTGTCTTGTCGGCTAACCGAGCATCGATGGCAAATCGCGGGGATTCGGCGATCGCGCGATGATATCGATCACCAATTATTCGCAGAGAGCGATCGCGATTTCTTCCCGTATTTGTCGCGAACGCGTATCAAGAAATAATAATACGATATGCCGAACGGCGCGGGCATAATCGACTCGTTCAATTGTCACGTGAACGATCCTACGCACGGCGTGACCTTTTTTTGCCGAGATTCCAAGAAATGACGTAGCGCTATAGACCGAGCGTTGTAAACAACTCGGTCGAAAACCGAGCGCCGGTTGAAAAACATGAAAAAAACCATTCACGTGACGTAGCGCCGTGAACACCTCAGTCGAGAACAGTCTATCATTCGGCGCGGCTCAGTCGAGCGGTTGTTCCGCGTGTCTTCGCGACGCTCCTCGTAATAGCCGTATCACACTAGCGGTTCGCGTTGGCGTTGCCGTTGGCTGCTGCGTCTCGACCAATCAGAGAATAGCAAAGTATTCTCTGATTGGTCGAGACGCAGCAGCCAACGGCAACGCCAACGGCAACGCCAACGCGAACCGCTAGTGTGATACGGCTATAACGCGATCATTTCCTACGAGAATCTCGATTGTCTCGTACGAGAGATATTAACATTTATCAGTCGCGTTTATATATATATAAGTAATTGTCGCGATCCGTACGGAAGTGCGCGTATAACATAGAGTTTCCTTTTTCGTCGCGTTCGGGAGTGCCGTTTAAATAATCGAACCAAAGACTTTTCAAAGCCCATTTGAGGGACAAGTATTCGCTAAATGTCCGTTCCTGTCGATGGCCGCACTTCCGAGATTTGACAGTTTTTCGGGTATAATACTCGTCGACTCGAAGTGGAGGCGAACTTGACGGAATGAAATACATACTTTCACATGGGTTTAAAAACGGGAGTGTAGAATCGCGCGAACGATCTTTGTGTTTTCGCGAGTGTGCTGAAGGATAATCTGAGAGGAGGAGGAGGTCTGGAAGAGGCATCGGGCGCCTGCGGAGCAACTTTACGGTAAATATTTTTCCTTTAGTGTAAAATTAATCTTTTTCCAGTTCATTTTTGACCCAGTGAGAAATGATTCGTCGATCGACGTCGAAATGATGTCGAGTCGACGTCAATTTGACGGTGTCGATGTCGATTCGACGTCGTTTCGACGTCGATCGACGAATCATTTCTCACTGGGGAGTAGTTTTATTTTGTAATTCTATAATTACAAAATAACAATTAGAGAACAAGAAATAATTTAAAATTTTATAAAAGTTCATTCTGGTAAAGTACTTTGCGGAAAATCTTTTGCGAATTATTTATTTAAACATCCAACCAAATAAAACGTTTGATACACACAAGAATTATTTATATTTTACAGTATTTATTTTCTCGAACACCGCTTTAATAAATACTGTATTTATATGTTACAGAATCAACGTGACTACCTCCGCTGCTGCGCATCGGGTGGTGAGTTGGAAACTTTTTTATTCAGGCAACGAATCTACATCTCGTAGATCGTAGATTGTAGATTGTAGGTGGTAGATTAGTATATCTCGTAGATTCGTTGCCTTTAAACGGATAGAGTACAACAAAATTTTATATTTATTTTTATATATTTCATTTATCGAAAGGGAGTGATCGCGATTACTATATTACCACACATTACATATTTTCACGCAAAATGTGACGAATATTATTGATGTATTCGTCGAGCTAAACTCTTGTAGCCTATCCGTTTTTCATTAACAAATTTATAAATATATTATAAAAAATATAAAATAAAGTAATATGACGTGAGATTCTAATATTTTGTCGAGAACGCTGAAACTTTATACTATTTTTATACTGTATTTGAAATTATTGATTAACTAGAATATTTAATTGTCGGTCTATCTATCGTACGATAAGTTTCTTTTCTCTGGATCTCACGTCATTTATTCTGTATGTGTATCTCGCGATATACTTTCAAGATGCGTCCCGCATGAATACATGCATAGTTACACGCATCTTCATATTTTCGCGGTCGGTCTTCGCGATCAGTTTCTCAGAAAATTTTCAAGAAGTTATTAATTGTTTAATTTTATCCAAATTATAAATTTTAATTTATCGCGAAATGTAAATAAAATAAATATAACGGGAAGTCATTGTGTTTTTTTATATACATATATACTTTAATTTCAAATTTGGAGATTGAGTCACGAAGAGACAGTCATTATCTATTCTTAAATAAATAACGGAGGTAAAAATATATTTGATTAGTGCAGCAAATTTTTTAAATTAATTTTCTTCTTTAATTAACTTCTCGTGGTCGTGCATTTCGATACGATCGACGCTCGCATATAGTTCGAACCGTACGAAATATCTGTCGGTGACGATAATAAACCGACTATGGAAGGAGCTTTCTTCCTTCCTGATCTCTGGTCAAAACGACCAGACTGTATGGCCAGGAGCAACGAAAGGTATGTCCAATCTGGCCCAACGTAGGAAGACTGGATACGACGGGGTAAGTGGTCAATATTGACCACTCCGATGGAGTATGTAAGACGATGTGCGAAATAAGTTGATTTGTTTTTATTTGTCAAAATTCGGGTGGGTTATATTCTTATCTTTTTTTACATATTCTCACATATTCGCGAGATTAAAAAGACTTGTATTAAATTCCTATTAAATCACGCGCGTATAACCCCAAATCGGGCCTCTTATAAATCGCGTCGCGGTTTTAACGAAAGACTTGCAGGTTTATTAAAAAAAAGTTAAAACGCGGGTAGGTAGGAAAATGTATAAGACTATACAGCGGAATACGGATAGGTAGGGATTCGGGTAGGCAGGGGCAGGGGAACATAACTCCATAATTAAAAAGATAGATAAAATTGTAACTGCAATGTACATATTACTATTAAATATAATTTTATTAAAAATAATGGCAAATATTTAATATTTGCCATTATTTTTAATAAAAAAAACTTTAGAAGCTAATGTATTTTTAATAAAATGTATTAAGTTACACTAAAATAATTATTAGAAACTTTTCATTGTAATTTTGTTGTGTTGAGCGGATT